ATCAGCCCCCGGAGCCGAATTGCCACACGAAAGGAGCGCGAATGAGAGCTCCAGCATTGAAAAAGGCTGGCTGATCTCGTCTACCGAATTCGTCGTTTCGCGAGGAATCATCTGTGCCGGCACAGAATCAGGACATACTTTTCGCGCGAACTTGAGAATCCAACTATCCGAGTACTCCTCGCTCTCGTTGTTTGAAGACCGGTTACGCATCCTTCGCGCCGTGTTCCAAAGCGCATTCATCGACGTTTCGCGCGATAAACCGTCCACGAATTGCCGCCAGTATCCGCGTTTCTTGGCTTTGATGAGGCTCTTGAGTTCGCGTTCAAGAGCCGAGTACGCTTCGAAATGTACGGGTGTTCCACGTTTCCGGAAAAGCTTAAACGCGTCGGACTTTTTACGATAAACCTCAGTGCATTGCTGGTCCCACCAAGGGGAAGGAGGTTTCCTACGGAAAGACGTTCCTGGAACCGGCCGAGTTTGAGCTTGAAGCGCGCTGTCCAAGATCAGATTGGAGAGGAAGTTATATTCCTCCAACGGTGGAAGCCCTTCTACCGACGTTAGGGCATCTTCTATCACATTTTTGAACTTTGTCCAATCGATATTACGGGTAAGATCGTACGCGACGTTAACGGGTTCCGACGGATTGAACCCACTGGCAACTGAAACTTTGATCGGCAAGTGATCACTACCGTGGGGATCTTGGATCACATTCCACGTGCAATCCAACGATAATGAGTTAGAGCAAAGTGTGAGGTCTAATCTGCTTCCATTCGAGGATGGGCCAGCCAAACGTGTTACTTCTCCATTGTTAAGAATTGTCATATTAAAGCTGTCGCAGAGGTCATATATCAAAGTAGAACGGTTGTCATCATACAGTTCCCCCCAGCCTGTACCGTGGGAATTAAAATCTCCCATAATCAACCGTGGAGCAGGAAGTACCGAACAGATATCTGAAAGTTGTTTTCGATTAACAACGGCTCTAGGAGGAATATAAACAGAAGCAATACAAAGGCTCTTACCTTTAATAATAGCCTGACATGCGACAACTTCAATACCTGGAAATTGTGGAAGATTCACTCTATAGAAAGAATGGCACTTTTTGATCCCCAAAAGTACCCCTCCTCCACGCGAATCCTCACGATCCAGTCGAATAATGTTAAAATCATAAAAAGGAAGATCGATATCTGAAGAGAGCCAAGTTTCACAAAGAGTAAATGCATCACAATCATTATTGTGAACTAAAAACTTAAAAGAGTCTAATTTAGGAATAAGACTTCGACAATTCCACTGTAGAATAGTGATCAAATCCCCGACCTCGTTTGGAAAATTATCCATCGAAGGAAATGATTGCTGCAATGAGGGGCCACTTCAATGTCAATTGCTTCAAGAGGGTCTTCACAGAAGGAAGCATTGCCAGAACAATGCTTTTGAGAGGATCAGAAATATTCAGGTACTTGAGAATATCGTCCACAATTTTATCAAATGAGAACAACCCAGATGAAGAAGGGGCTTCTGTTCTTAAAAATGGGCCATCAGGGGTTTTTGATGTCCCCGGGAGAGATGGAAAATTCTGGTTATAGTCAGTTCTGCGGAAACCAGGAGGAGTTGAAACTTCCTTTTTTCCATCACTCCTTGATTTGGGCAAGCTGATTTGGGGTTCCTTATCTGCAACTTTCCGCGAACGGATGCGTTTTCGTTTCCGTGCAGAACCTTCCGGAAAACTGAAAGAAACTCCCTCCTCAGCCAAGTCAGAGTCAGACTCGTCATCAGACAAAACAGCAAAGGGATTTTTGTCGTTGGTTGATGGTGTGGCTGTTTTTAGCATTGCTGCAAAAGACTGCCTGGAACGCTCCTTAAGAGAGCGTTCTAGTTTCTCCCCGCGTTGTTTGTACGCCGGGCACGATGAGAGACCATGAGGAGTTCCCTTACAGTACACGCATTTTGGTGCAGTGACTGTGCAGGCGCCATCCTCGTGCTTCTCCCCGCATTTGGAACAGCGTGCCTTGCTGCCACAGTGAGAGGCCGTATGTCCCAACTGTTTGCAATTTTGGCAGTTCATGACCCGAGGAACAAACAAACGCACAGGTAGCCGAAGTTTTCCCAACTCGATGTAGTGAGGAAGGGCTGAACCAGAAAAGGTCACCCGAAACGAGTCTGTGGGGGTAAAGCTCTTTTTACCCTCGCTGAAAGATACTGAGTTCAGTTTCTGGACTTCCAGTATCTCAACCGTGGGAAGCAAGGGGTTCTTGAAACGGCCAACCGCTTGCTTCGCCAAGATCTCGGGGGTCAGACTCGCTTCGGTGACCACACCTTCGATCTCCACATTACGAGCTGGGATGTACACTCTATACTCGAGTGTAAAGAGCTGGGAGGCAGCAATCTCGTTAGCTTGTTTCAGGTTAGAGACGACAACGCGAAGTTTATTGTACCTCACCTTCGAGATTTCGGTCACGGCCGAGAACCGCTTCGTCAGATCATTAGTAATTTGCATTACATTCAAAGGTTTCTTTTTGGGCTGAAAGTAAACAACCCATGGGCCAGTCGAGTCTTCTGGGTAGGCTCGCGATCGGGGGCTTATCTGTCCCTGTCCATTACCAGACTGAGATGACGAAGCAGGGATGGCATCATCTGATTTCTTGGATGACAGACGTTTTCGACCCTTCTTGCTATCGCGTGGCAAAGTGGTGTCATCTTCCGACAAAACGTCCATTTCGTCTTCCGACAAAATGTCCATTTTGCCGTACTAGTGGGAGCGAAAAACGCTCTACCACTGCAACGATAATCAAAATTACTCGGACACAATACACGAAGAAAAAAAAATACTAACACAGAAACACAAACTTAAAATTTAACAGATGGGAGAAAGAAAGAAACAAGAAACAAAAACTTATCTGATAATCCTATACTACTACCACCGAGCGTTTACACAGCAGCAGCGGAGCGATGCGCAGCTTGGATGATCTTCGATCCGCGTATGCGGGCGGTCTTCGTTGGTGTGTGCTTGTATGAAGCTCGGCACTCAGCTGAACACACGATGATGGATGAGCGGCTTGAATGTGGAGGCAGATGCTGACACTCGTTGACGATGATCCGTGTGCACAGGTATGCGTGACCACGCACCGATGGTGCGCAAAATGATTGGCGAATTGCCAATCGCAAAACCAATTATCGATGATGCCGAAAACACACTTTCTTCTCAGAAAAAAACTCACTTTTTGATAAATTTATCGGGAATTATGCCAGGAATCACTAAGCGAGAAAAACTGATTATTTACGTCAGATAATAGCGAGAAAACTTCCAAATTAACGGAGCGCGAAACAAGCCGACCGTACTTCTTGCTAGGACGCAGTGGTGTGTCGGTTCCCGTGTTGTATGGCATTATTATTTTTCATAAGGCAAATCAATTAATTTCATTCATAATTTGTCTGGCAAAAAGCCCAAGGTAATCTTATGAATATCGATAGTTTATTTCACTAAGTGTACCGTGGCGGATTAAACAACGTTCATGGACTTAGGATTTGTAATAAATTAAAGTTAGTTTGGGTGCTTAAATTCACAAATCGATTAGATCTAAAATATTATATTGAACAAACATGGTGCAATTCAACCAAGGGAGGTTATGGAAAAACTTCATTGCTAACGAGATAAATTACAATGATGTTGAGATATCTGCGCTCTTGCGTAAAATGAGCGATTTTAGGGGGACGAAGCGAAGTGGAGTCTGATGAAGTGGTGGAAGCCCTATTCCCCTTAAGGTTCTATTTACTTTGATGCATTTTTTTAAAAATAAAAAGCAGTTTTTTTCGACGCATTATTTTAGATTGCAAAAAGCTCGCGTCATTTTGTGTAAAATATCAAAAGGAATCGAATAGTGCGAGCTTTTTGCAATCTGAAATAATGCGTCGGAAAAAAACTGCTTTTGAAATTTTCCAAAAAGCATCAAAGTAAATTGAACCTTAAGAATATTTTAAAGCCCATCGATGTAGCACGGTTAGCACCAAAACTTGATGTTTCCGCCACTTCGGAAACAGTGTGCGCATGTAATGCAAATTGCGCCAGCGAGTTGGGCCTCAGATAAATAACCTAAGTTTAAAGATCGATGCTTTGAATGTGGTGGACTGTTTTGTATGCAAAACTACAATGGATTCAAGTTCTGTACAATTTTTTAACCCACCTTAATCCAAAATAGAATATTACACATTGACCTTAAAAAAAACTGCATTAGGAAAAAATCATCAAAATTGGTATTTTCCCACGCTATTGAACTCCATACAGACACTGTAACAAATATTTCATGAGTATCAAAATATTATACACCCAGCCTAAAGTTTGCAGTCATTCTCGTAAATCTCTAAGCCACGTCTCCCCCGATTGAAAAGTGCTACTCGCGTCATAACACCGTACATTACTCAATTGTGCTACACGTCTGTGCAGTGTACAGTTAGAACCATCAGTTCTAAAAATGAGTACAAGATACCCACTTAATGGGTACTCTGTAGTTTTCATAGCTATTCCACCCTTAATTCTGGGATATTTTGTGCAGAAATGCTAGTTTACGTACTAAACTAGCAATGTGGCTTGTCAAATTTATGAATTAAAAGCGAGACCAGACCAGACTTATTCGGAGAAATTCCTCTAGAGATCTAGATTCTCTTCGTCTGAAACGTTGACATTGTGATGACTTTGAGATATAATTTTCACTACCCGGTTCGTGATGTATGTGTTCCAGAGATTCTTTTTCAGAGGTCCAATCGTCTAAAAAATGATACAAAACTAATTAACTTTAAAATAAATGTAAAATGAGTTAAGAGGGTACATTAGTCAACGACTGATTTAAATCTTTTAAAGAACCCAGTGTCAAAAAATGTCTATACCATCACATTCCCCTTGAAATAAAGAGCAGTCGCTTCATACATGTTCTTGTGAATGAATTCCTTCGAAATGAAAGCAAAAACGCACGTGCGCGTGCGTTCATTCGTTCAGCAAGCTCCAAACGAAGCCATCCGTCAGTGAACCAAATGGTTTTGCCGGTAACAACAATTTGCATTTTGTTATTATTATCTGCCCTACTAGCAGTAGAAGGCACCTTTGCCACTATCAACACACACGGTGATTACTGTGTCATTGGAGAAAGGTGAGTCAGGAGGACAGTTGGGAGCGAACTTTGAACCGATCGGTTGTAAAGCTGTAAGTTTGCTTATTCATTTACGATCCAGCTCGAACAACAACCAACAGTGCCAAAAGTAATGCACCTCATCAGGATTGCAAGTTTCGTCAATCCCCTTGGCCGCGGTCACCTTCTAACCAGAACTTTGCCACTTCTCACTTGCAGAACGAGTACGATGTCTTCCGATTCGCAGCAGAAGTACGAAGCCGGAACGCACTCGATTGCCTATGTGACCACTCCGAATGCAAACTCAGCCAAAGAGCTGGCTCGGAAGTTGGTGGAGCGTAAACTGGCAGCTTGTGTGAACATTATCCCCGGACTGACCTCGATCTACGAATGGGAAGGTAAAATCAACGAGGATCAGGAAATTCTGCTGATGATCAAAACGCGCACGGCCCGGGTGGACGAGCTGAGTAAATTTGTCCGGGAGAATCATCCGTACAGTGTGGCGGAGGTGATTTCCGTTCCGATCGAGAATGGCAATCCACCATACCTGGACTGGCTGAGCAAGACTGTCACGGAGGCGAAGAAGTAGGTGAAAACAGGGTGGAACGATTTCTGTTGATATGCAGCGTGTCTTTGGATTGGTTTGGGATTTGTAAATATAATTATTATTTGATGCATTTTAACTTGCATTTTTTATTAACTATTAGAAATAGTGTAGTGTAACCGTTGATTGTGATAAATGGCTATGAAAAAAAAAACAACTTATAGCTGTAATATCGATCGTGGATAATACGCTAATCTCGAATTATCCTCGATTTTGATAAGCGCCATACCGTATTCTCGACCGTATTTCGGTATTATCCTGAATTTTAATCTCGGATTAAACTTTAATACCTAATCCGATTTCGACGTATTAGATAAAATCTGAGATTTCAAAAAGTATGCAGCCAAAACAACATCTACTCTCACCTCACGAGCAACAAAATGAAAGTTCAGTGCCAACATTTCAAAAGGGCAAAACTGCTTTCTGTATGAAATGGTCTCCGGCCATCTATTTCTCACGAATATGAGCTCACACATGCGAATTTGGGACACCATCAGGTAGTTTGTTTTCTCTACCAGCTGGCATCGTAATTTGCAATGAGTTTTTATTTGCGAGAAATCGGCAGTTGGAGTCATTGTTTACAAAAGCAGTTTTATTGCGAGGGAAGATTTGAAACGTTATGAACGGAGATTAAATTGTTTGATATACCTGTTAGATACACTCTTGAATACTGCAGACATTCCCAACGGAGATTCCAGTATGTCAGGTAAGTGATGATCTTTTAATTGTAAAATAGCATTTGCAGCTGTTTGCATTCCGTATTGTTTGCAGCTCCTGAAAATCCAACAGGCGGTTCGAACGAAGAGGTGTTATTCCAAATTTGACGAGGAACTTGACATATCACGAAGAGGTGACCGTTTAACTATTTCCAGTCCCCAGAGAAGAAGATACAGAGCTGTAAACCTGATCTTCCCGAAGGAATTTTTCTAATACATTCTAAAACCTGTGCAGAGAGTACCGCCCTCACAGCCACCACCGACCTTGTTGATACTGTTGATACGATTTGAACGACAGCACCATAAACGGTAGCTATGGACCAAGGCAAGTTTCTTCACCATCAACAAGGACACGCGGAAGCGCAACATGAACATTGGGTGATGGACGGACGCTGTAGTGCAACGACTAAGCACCGACATCAAAGATCTCAATGAAGTCTTCTGAATATTTTCTTAACACTTCAGGATGACTAGGTGTTATTCTGAAGATCATGAACTTTCCAACAATTCAAAGTCAGGTCTCTCAGATATTTTTTTTATGATACCAGGATGCTCAGAAATTAAGGATATCACAGATCTCAAGGAAGTCTTCTTGATGAAATAAATCGAAGCAACCCATAACTTTACATTACGCAGTGAACGTTTTGAGCCGTTTCAAATCCAACCCACACACTTAGATTTTTTCGCCGAGATGGGCACCACCGAACAGCTCGGCATTTTATTGTGCAGGTGAAAGGCACTGGAACGCGGTGAAACACTTATTGCCTTATTTGAGGGGCACATCGCAATGTCGTTTGGCGTACCGCAAAAATGAAAATTCGACGATACAAGGCTTTTCCGATGCTGATTGGGCATCTGACCACGAGGACAGAAAATCAACCACTGGGTACGTGTTCACCGCTCAAGGAGGAGCTATATCATGGAGCTGCAAGCGGCAACAAACCGTTGCTCTTTCAACTTGAGAAGCCAAGTACATGGCGCTGTCAACTAAACTACGCTTGCATGGCTTGTTCGAGGACGAAAAGCAGATCTTGATCCATAGTGCCATAGTTGTAGTCAAGAACGGAGGATACCACCCGAGGACAAAACAAATTGACATACGTCACCATTTCATTCACGATGCTTTTGAAAGAGGAGATATCAACGTGGCGTATGTTAGTACGAAGGAGCAGACTGCTGATGGCCTTCCGAAGCCGTTACCAGCTGCTAAATTAATTGCATGCCGTGAAGCGTTGGGAATTCAAACACCAATGGGTTGAGGAGGAGTGATGAAATAAATCGAAGCAACCCATGACTGTTTGTTACTACCAAGCAGGGTTGCTTCCACTAACTTGTTATAAAAAAATATTATTCGGAATTATGCAATCATTAGATGCAATAATGCTATGTTGTACTTGTTAGTAATAAGACGAGGGAGTAAAGAATGTGTTTGACTCATAAAACCTGTCAATTTCACTTTGAGAGCGTCACAATCAGCGATCTTATGATTCGAGAGCGTTCACTCAGAGTGAGCGCTCACGAGTCGTAAAATCTCTGATTGTGACGCACTGAAAACAATATTGACATATTTTATGTGTCAAACATGTACTTCATGACCTCTTCTTGTAATTTACAAGTACTAAAAAGCATTATACTATATCATGGTTTCATAATACCGAAAAACATTTTTTATAGCAAGTGAGTGGAAGTAACCCTGCTACCAAGGGAAAATAAATTCTTTCACTTGTGATTTAACCGTTCAAGATAACAAACGCGTTTTACTTTTACTCTGCTGCCCATTATTTCTAGTTTTTCAAGACATCAGGATGACCAAAAAATAATCTAAAGGTCTTGAACAGTCCAACAATCCAAGATATTTTTTTCACGATACCGGGTTTCAGACTTTCTTTCAAACAACTCAAGAAAGTCATGTTGAATATTTTCTCAAGACTCAAGCTATAGTTCTGAAGAACTTGAACCGTCCAACAATTCAAGTCCATCATCTTTTTTTTTCATGATACCGATTTGAACGCCTTAAACGCTTGATTCTTTGTTTGCAGGAAATAGACAACATCTCGCTTGCTTGCTTCGTCCACAAACGTGATAAAATCTCGCATGTAAGCATTTATAGCCAATGGTTCACAACGGATACCATGATCAATATTCTCTTGAGGCCTAGGTCTGCCATTTAGTTCGTAGCATAGACTGCTATCAAGAAACTCTATAAAAAGTATCTATTGAAAAATTTAATTTTATGCTGTATAATTTGACAAACTTTGTAAAAAAAGAATCCAAAATTTAAGCCGCTTCATCTTCTTTTAATTGTATTTCGAGATGCACTTCGTTTGGATCTCCTGGGGTTTCAGGTTCCTTTCCAGAACTGTTTCGAGTTTTACGACAAAACTCACTAATCCTTGTGGCCTTGTACATATCGCCTGCCACCTTCAACGCTACCTTTCTCCACTTCTGTTGCAAATCGGTAACAGTCAGAATAGGGATGGAAGGATGCCTACAAACATAAAATTGTTAATAAATGTTTGGAATAGTAACATATTTTATCTTACATTAATAGATGATTTAGAACGGCCATTACATGCTTGCATTTACCTAAGCCAGCTTTGCACGAGCACTGGAAGGTCCAATTTTCGAATGAACATCTAGTACGAATGTAGATTTTGTGAGGCTGTAATCCATCGTCGTACACAGTCTGAACACCTACCAGCAGCAAATGATTAGCCCTGAAAACTCTTTCTCCCTCGACGATCAATCTGCTGTCTCCGGAAGCATAGTGCAACATGTCAAAAAGCTGCACTTGTACGCGAATTTCGGACTGGAGATCGTCAGGTAGAGCCTCGGGTAGAGCCTAAAAATGTTGTTTTAAAATCATTATTTTACTTGACTGGAATAAACTTGTCGAAGTGAATTCCACTAATATGTTAAGAACACATCTTCTAGCAATACTTTGAAACCGTATTTTCAATCAAGTACAGATATTTTTATTCATAAATTTGTGAAAAACGTTGAGCATTTTTGTTTATTTCAGAAAACATCACTTGGAAAAATGGAAAAATAAAGCAAAAACCATACACAAACTTTGATGCCGATTAATAAAAAATCATCTAGAGATGTTACTCTAACACAGAATACTTACCATTTATCTCAATAAAAGTTCAAAAAATTTCAAAAACTCTGCCAAAAACTTATTACTTTATGCGCGGTTTGTTTACGTCACGCTTCACACATATGAGCTGTCAAAAATCACTGGTGTCAAGGCGAATCGGGGACAAACTCTCGAACAAACTCCGGTCGTTTGTCAAGTGTTCGGAAGATCCCGAATCGATGATCCAGCTGACTTGCTGCGTGGGTGGAGATCCAGACGATCCACTCATGAAACACACACCATCTTCACCCTTTCCGTAATGCGCACTGTTTTTCTTCTCAGGGCAGTCGGAAATTTTATGGCCTTCTTTGTGGCAGCCGATACACTTCCACTTCTTTTGTTGTTGTTGCTTTGCGCGAGGCTTTCCGGTGCTCGAACCGGCGAAAGCGGCATCGTCACTTCGGGGAACCGACATGTCAACACTGGCACTCTTCCGCTTGATTTCTTCGTCCAGTAATCGGCACCGCACAAAATCAAGGGACAGATTTTCTTCTGGCATTGTTTCCAGTACCGTCCCTACCGTCGCGTACTCTGACCCGAGCGTCAGCAGCAAATGACAAACGATGTCAATATCTTCCAGCACGGCGCCCGTTGCCTTGTAGTCACGTACAACACGGTCAAACACAAGAAAATGTTCTTGAAGAGAACCACCTTCGTGTCGCAACGACAACAACTTCTTCTTCAGGTGCAAGCGACTCGCGATGCTTTTGCGCTCGAAAATCCGCTGCAGCGCCAGCCAAATCGCTCGCGGGGTCGGCTTGTCCTGAATGTACTCGAGTTGGCTATCGTGAATCCGCGAAATCAGGAGGGACTTGCAGCGACGGTCCTTCTTCCGTCGTTTTTCCGCTGCTCTCTCCTTCACCTCCTTCACCTCCTTCACGGCATTCGTGTCCTCCTGCTTGACGACGTATTCGTCAACTTCCTCCAGTTCCGCCTGTATGCACTCGGCGAGCTCGTGCTCCTCCAGCACCACTTGCATACGGAACTTCCAGGAGGGATAGTTGCTTCCGTCGAATTGCGGCATACGCGCGATTTCGCCTTCTCTCTCCATTTCTACTTGACCGGACACGACGATTCAAAAACACTTCGATCCCGACACTCGCGAATCCACTGGGCCCATAACCTATTAGGAATTCGGGCAGTGGTAACGGAATTGGATT